CATGCAAATATCCCAAGAAATTGGACCCTTTTCTATGTCCAAGGAAAATAAAGAATAGTTAAAACAAAGCTCCTGGGAGATGTCCTTTTCACATTTTGTCATTTGTTTTGTAGAAATGTCTGAGACCAAATGCAGGCTCAGGTTTCTCATTGCTAAGACAGGGCAGATAGTTGGTCACATAGCACCAGTGATATTCCTCTATTACCTTGAAGAGAAAAAACAAGAATCACCACAAAGTAGACTCCTGAGATGCTGTATAGAATTCCTGACGTGACCTATTCTTAACACTCGACATTCTTCCCAGATTATTTAAGAACACCAGGAGTAAAGGAATCTAAGTTGCAGTTCAGTGTTATTTGTTTTGTTTTTGGCCTATTCCAGTCTTGAGGAATTTAATTTTTGGAAGATATAATTAAAGCTTGTTCTTTCAGCACAAGATGTTCATGTGTTTTGCCTTAGTAACACTTGCAATGCTAAACTCGAAGAAGCATAGATAATGGCTTCATCTATACATATTTCATAATACATACCAATTTCATACTATATCATAACTGGTTACATGGGGAAAACTGAGCCAAACCAAACAATGAAGACTGATTACAAGATGCTACTCTCTGCACAGTAGTTTTGTTCACTGCTGTAAACAGTTTCACAAATCACAGATAGAGTGATGGATTTTTTTTCAACAGTGCACTGCCCACCATAAAATGATGAAAATCCTGCCCTTTGAGAACCCTTCTAATCAGAGGCACAGGTTGCGCTTTTATCTGCCAGATACCATTGGAAATTCTATTGACAAGAGGCATTGCTTAACATGCTTATACCAAAGAAAAGGAGAAATCAGACCTATGAACTATTGACTTGTTCCTAGCCACTGCACCAGTGGGTTCATACGGAGATTAAATTAACATAATTCATAGCTCACTTCCGTCTGCTCAAGAACAAAACGAGAACCATGGCTTTCAGACAGAAAAAGACAAACCCCAGCCTAGTCTCACTGTTTCGAGTGCTGATTCAAAAAGTGTAAAAAAAAAACATTAGCTTACACTCTTCACTCCTCCCTCACCATTAAAACTACACATTCCAAGTCAACAGCTGTGAATTGTCTTAATTAATGCAGCTCATACTGATAACACTGTTTCTCATAAATTAAAAGGCTAAGCTCATATTTTCACATGGATTTCGATATGAAGCAGTTTTGTCTGAGCCATTAGTTCTGGGAAAACATAGGGGGCAAGCACAGAGAGCAGTCTCCCCACATAATGACATTCATTAAGTTAAATGCAGGATTTACCCTTAGCTAATTTAAGGGGAGAATCATCATCATCAAATAATCAAATTCAGTGGGAAACTCAATGAAAGCTTATACATTATATACATAGGTTGACAGTTGTTACAGGACAGGTAAGCACCTATTTCTTTCTTTTGAATTCTAAATTCAAATTGAAAATAAGTTCAAACTAATTTTGTTTTAAGATTCTCTATATTTGATTACTGGCACACACAATAACAGCTTTACTCTGTTAAAATGGGGTTTTTCAAACACCTCATAACAAATAAATGTTTTCAGTTTGGAGCAGCTTTTCCCTTCTGCAAGTTTCCTCTGGGGTCTGGGGGTCACTCCCTATTTGGTCCCAGCTGAAAAAGCCAGCAAATAAAGTGGCCATTGTGGTTTCGTCCCTTACAGCCTGAACTGGATATTCAAACATTCCAAATCACAGCTCTGGGTTAAAGGCCAAGTTTTCTAGACCACTCATCACATTAGCAGAAATCAAAAACCATACTGGAACACAACGGTCACTTCTACAACAGTAGTTTGCTGAGCCCATAAACCATGCTATTTACATTTAAAAATAGTAAGGAAATAGGTTTGTTGACTGGTTCAATTCCTGGCGTGTTATCTGCTCTGGTTTCCTCCCACTGTGCAGAAACATACTGGTAGGTTAATTGGATTCTGGGAAAATTGACCCTGATCTGACAGCGTGTGTCTGTGTTTGTGTGCATGTTTGTCCTGAGATGGACTGGAGTCCTATCCAGAGTGCATCCCACCTTGCACCTGCTGCTCGCCAGGACAAGCTCCTAGTCCCCTGTGACCCTGAACTGGATGAAACAGTTAGAAAATGAATAGATGGATGAAATTGTCAAAATAAGTCTTTTGGTATGGATCAGTCTGTTAACTGAAAGGTTAGTGGGTTCACATCCACCCAGGGACAAAAACACTCTCTTGAGCTGTGTGTTGAGTTGCAGGAGTCTGGAATGAACTGCGTCCTGGCTTCAAGTCAAAAACAGCTGGATGACATCTTGAGATCAATAAAGAGCTAGAAACTAATCTTACTAAATGGTAACCTCTCATTTGTAACCTTCCTTATGCACATTCAAAAATACATGATTTTATTTAAGACAAGAAACATTTGAGGGTGCCTCACTGGAGAAGATTACCTGATTATCATCAGCAGGACTGAAAGCAGCCTGTCTGTGAGAAAGGTTGCCAAGAAAACAAGATGTTCTGCTTCAGCCATCAGCAACCCAGTCTTGAGAAACCAGGAAACTGGCTCAATGAGGAACAGAGCACATTTTGTACAACACACAGGGCCACCATCCTGGACCTGGACCATCACATCTGTATGATCCATCTGGGTAATTGTTTTCAGGGACTTCACTGGCTACAGCACAAGAAATTTCCAAAAAAATAACCTGCCTATCAGCAGACTGACTGTAGCTTGTTGTATGCATGAAGAGGAAAAAGATCTACTTGCTTGGAGTCCATTCAGGGGAAACATGCTGACAGACAAGACTGACAAGTCATCTTCAGTGGCTACAGAACATCAGAGGAGGTGGCGGAGAGAGTAGGGAAGTGTTTTATCCACCAGTAAATGCCATTTTGCCCTTGACAGGCCTGACCGAATACAAAGTTTGCCAAGAAGGTGATGTGGCGATCATTACGTTGGCTGTTGTGTTGTGCAATCCAACCAGTAGCGAAGGGAAGCAAGGAGGAATGTCCTTTAACATAAGGACTTTGGTGCAGATTGAGGGCATTCTAATTTATCAGCGATACACTGACAAAGTCATGAGCCAATGATCCTGCAAATCAACTTGGAAGTGTTGATTTCCCAACAGAACAACACAAGGCCACAAAGTGCTGGGGTGACAATGTCAAAGTCTTGCTGTGGCCAGCTTTTTATCCTGATTTAACTCCAGTAGAACATTTGTGGGAGCACTTTGCCAACACTTTCAGCAAAACAGGTCTCTGTGTGAAAACTGCCAGGACTGTGTTAATCATGCTCAATAACTCTAATAACTTTGTAATATGTTCATTATTATAGTTTCGTACTTCATATTGATACCTTATAATTCTTCCTCCTGATTTTGTTTAAATATTTTATTAAATCACATATAAGGGGTGTTTCTCTTACACTTCACTATATGAGTGATCATTTAAGGGCATTTGCTGTTATATGTTACTCATGTCAGATGTAAAACAAAATGCACTTGCAAACACTGTTCAAGTGGTTGTAAAACCTAGTCCACTCCTTTATTCCAAACCTGCCATTCAAGCCCTTAATTACAATCTCTTCTTCTCAATCACACCCACCTGCTGTAGGTCTTCCCAGCCACTTCAAACACACTCCCCTAAAGTTTGGGGGGGAAAAATCACACAGCTGACCCTGCCTGAGCTGAATGGGTGGTTTCTGGTAGAGGTAATATTAGCAGGATATCTCCCACCCTAGACGGATTTGGTTTGAACAGCTGTCATTCCCTCTCCTCTCTTGCTATTATTACCTGATCAAACAAGACGAGATGAAATCCAACTCAAGACACCTTTCATATTTAATTACACAAAACTTCATTCTAAAATGCAGATTGTTAGTGTTGTAGTTTTCACCTAAACTACTCTACATAGCTGGTAAATTTCCTTTCACTTAACCATAGAAAATAAACGTCAATGGGCTACTCACTTCATTCGAAGTGAAACCTCATGCAGCGGTTCTTTACAATAGATATTATCCATAACACACTGAAAATAAGAGTAATCATATAGGGCAGTAAACAGCAGCATGGAAAGATTAACTAAAATGTAATGACGTTGTAACAACGATGTAACCTCGACCAAACACTACATATCTCATACAATGGAGATGCGGCAAAGCCCTGAACTAGGCACGCTTGGAAACGATTTTCCATTTAAAAGGTTTAAATTTTAAGTGAGAGACAAGACGTGATAAATAATTCTGCGCACATTTATATTTGTGTGTCTTAAAATGTCAGTCCATGTCCACTTAATATTCCGATGACATATCTCAACCTTAAAACTCAGTATTGCCGAGCCGATTCAATCTTCAATTGAATAGCTATTATGCCTTGCAAACTAAACTGTTCCATATGGCACATTAACGCTTTCGGTTTATAATACCGCTGGAAAAAGAAATGCGCTAATAAAAAAAGATCATTCTGACATTTTTTTAAATTTGCATTTGTAAACGGTGGTAATTGAACGTTTCGGTAAGGGTAACGCGAAATCCTGAAAACCCCAGGAAAAACAGTCAATGTGCAAGATAGCGCCCGTTTCACAGAGCGTCAGCATTTCATATCTTAACACAAAAGAACATTGTTTCAAGTGATGATTTGAACGTGCTTAACCAATACTTTAATTTAAATGAAATGAAACTCGTACTGCATTAATGTGGTCTAAATCGAATCAAACAATTAGTTTTGTGCACAACTGTGCGATACAAGCTTGCTTCTACAATATAAAGAAAGGGCTAGTGAACATTTTACTCATTCGACTGAAGCAAATGTTGTCGGGTTTTCTACAACGGCGTAGAGGGCTTTGCACAATAAAGACATTGAAGCTAGCTGCAGAGAACTATTTAACCAACAAGGTCACAAAATACGAAAAGCCCAGGTAGAGATCAAAGAGTCTTAACACTAATCTGCACACTCAAACAAGTTATAGCCTGTTTTCAGTGCAAGAAAATGCATCGAATATAATTTTCCCGTACCTTTTGTCGTAAAATCGAATCCTCCCCGGTATGACTATATTCCAGGGTGAATTAGCTAATATTTCCCCGCGATTGCAGTAGTTGGGCAGATCTAAATGAAGAGTTTAGACGTTGATTGTTCCGAAACAAGGTTGCTCCAGGGTCGCCATGTCGGACCGACTGCCTTTGAAAACAGGATTACATGGAAACTATAACAGGAGATTCACATCGAGTTGCTAACTCGAACAATAAGTGGTCCATACTGCCTCCAGCCATCGTAATTGGCACTGCACCTAACAAATTCCAAGGGGTTTTGCAGGAGCAGAATTTAGACGAATAGCACCACCTAGCCTAATTATCGATGGAAAAAATAGTATTCTATAACAGTAGTTCAAGTAGCCGGACACTTGTAAATAACATTTGTAGAATAAAAAACGAATTTAACAGCAATCATGCAGTCCACATGTCTGACGATTTAGAACGCTTTAAATTAAAGTTCCAGTATCTATTATGCGCTTTCTGTCAACTATTGAAAATTGGAGTGTGGGGAAATTAATTAGATACTATTGAAAGACTGTGTTTTTAACTTGGAGGTAAAAAAAAATCCTTACACTTATATTGCGCTTTTCTAAACACTCCAGTCAAAGTGCTTTACTAGTAATTGGGACTCCCCTCCACCAACATCAATGTGCAACACAAACTGTATGATAATAATAATAATAATAA